ATGTAGGCCCTACTCTACTGGGTCAGAGTGGTGGTCTGTCTAGTCCAGTATTGTCAGCCCACCCATGACAAGTACCAACTTGTTCAAAGGAAGATACCATAGGCAGTATAAAGTATAACCTACCCCCTAAAAAGAATTTCCTCCTAATCCTCATTATTTAGAGTTTTGTCTGTACCCTAAAGTATGCAGGTTAATATCCTCTCTTGAGTTTAGTTTTTGTTGTATTTCTATACATTTTTGTTGCAAACAAATGTCTGATTCTTGTTCTTGAATCATTGGTCTTGGGTATCTGGTAGCAATAAGCTCTACAAGACACTTGGGCATTGGGTTAACAATATGCATTTATCAGTTTTAATTTGCCCCCCCTCTCTCAATGTTATTACATGTACTTTTAGCCTTTTTATGGGGTTGGTTTTGTCATCTTCCACTGAAATGTAGTGGTACTAATATATATATTGGGGGGGGGGGTAGCATTTTCATGTGTCCTCCTCCTTGCCTACTTTTGGCTTGTTCTTATGGCAAAAAATCTCCTTTGATCCACACTGCAGGTCTCTACTCAACAAAATCCAGCAACTGCTTCATACTCTTCATTTAGTCTATATGAAGACTCTTAGTTGAAGTTAATGGGCATTCTGAGTAAAAAATCCAGGCCAAGTAAAAACATTACACTTTTACCAATATAAGAGATCAGAAAGCAGCCTATACCTGTAACAGAACAGAAGTTCAGCATGCGTAGACTGATTTTAAAAATGGTGGAACCCAGTCTAAGATTTGTGCCCCCCTCTCCTGCCCACCAAAAGTGTAAATGTATTTTCTGTTTGTTACTGATCTAAACTACATCACTTACAGAAAACCGCATAACTTAGATCAATTCTACCTTGGGCTTGTTGAACGTCTGTACCTATCCCTAGTATAGAATATGCAACAGAGCCACAAAATGAAGACCAAAGAGGAGAAGTTCGACCTAAAAGTCTTATTGCTTGCGTGGTGTGATCTTGGCATTTCTGCAGGTTCCTTACTTGCTTGCTTTTTCTATTTACAGCCCTTGCTTTGTCTCACAAGGATTAGAGGGGGGTGGGGGATTGTCTACACTAAAACACCTTTTGGCAATCCAGATTCATAAGTCAAACGGAAAAAATAACAAACTGTGTTTCAGTCTTAATGAGTCAGCCCTGGAAAACCACCAGCATCTGGAAAATGACGCTTTTTCTGACAAGTCTGAGAGAGACAACATAGAGGAGTCTGAGAATGAGACTCACGAGAACAGCCGGAAGACGAACGAGAGCGAGAGTGACCAGTCTGAGACCCATGGGGAGGCCTCTCAGGAAAGGAAAGGGACAACCTATATCGAACAGATCTACGAGGAATTCGGGGAGGTAAAATAAAAAAGAAAATCTAAACTATTTCCACAGAACACTTTCTAAAATCAGAGTGGTTTTTGTTGTTGTTTTTGGTTTTTTCTTTCTTCATGCAGTCCCTAGCATCTAGTCAGCTTTCTGGATGAGGGACAAGTTAAAAACTACTCTATGAGTTGAGATATTTTGCAAGCAATACTGTGTGTGGATTTTTGCCAAATTCTGTTGAATTGTCCTTACATGGTAATCATTCATTAGGAACAGCAGCTCTGGTATTGGCCCTTGGCACGTTTCCAGAATCAGTGATTGCTTCAACTAGGCATTGCATTAAGGAGTCATGTAGCATTTGCACAGTTCTTTCGGAAGACGGCAGGAGGGGAATTATCATTCAGGGCAGGTATCCCCACCAAATAGGATTGCTCCATGGCAAGATGCAAAATATGATATTTCTCTTTATTTGATATGAGTAAAGATGAATCTGTGTGTGTTTAACAATACCTGAGCAATTTTTCCTAAATGGCTGGAAAGCCATTTCTCATGCAGTTTAAAATTTGGACATGAATGTATCTTCATACGTGAGGACCTTTTTTACATTGTGACTTCTCTAACTTATAAGTAGCTCATGGACCTGACATCACTGGAGGGGGAAGGAAGGGTTTGGTTGGGCGCGTGGAGGCTGAGTCAGCCAGAATATACTAGGAGTCAGTGGAAGACCTCTAACCTAACACTGGGAGAGATGAGGTCAGAAGCCAGCCTGTTTTTTAATTTTGAATTTAAACTCCTGGTGATGACAGAGTACAGGTCCCTGAGGAAATACCTGTGGGAACAAATGTATAGTGACTTAGCTATTCTATAACTATATCCAGGCAGGTAAGGTTCTTTGGGTAGATGTACTTATCTTTTATTAGACCAACTAAAATGTTGGGAAAAAGGTCTTTGCAAGCTTTCCATCACAAACACTCTTCCTCAGGCATAGGGAGACTCTGTTGGTGTTATGTGTTCTCCAAAGTAAAAGGAGGAAAAAAAAAAAAGCAAATTAACAACAAAGATGTCTGTGAAAATGCAGATGAATGGAAGTTAGGAAGACAGTGGGTAGAGATGGGGGGGAAAGGAGGGAAATGTGTGAAGGAATGCAAGTGTTCAGCTGGGCTAGGGACAGACATTTCACACAGACTGGTTTAAATGATCAGAAACTAGTTTAAACCTGTAACAGCACATAAGTTCAGTGCACATAAACCAGTTTCAAAATGGCCAAAACCAGTTTGAGATGCTACGTTCAACCAGGTTTATCAGGCTTAATTGATTGAGCTCAAACAGGATAATGCAATGTCTATCCCAGATCCCTTCCTGATTTTAAGTTAAACCACTCTCCCAGCATGCTCTCTGGGTTGGGTTCTTTGCTTCAGCAGAGCAGGGCCCTGCTCTTCTGCTCCCCAGCCAGAGACAGGCAGGGGCAGGGTCGGGCCAGACGCTGGCCTTGGAAGAGAGCAGGGAAGAAGTTTATTCCCCCCTCCCTCCCCTCTGCCACCATGGCTTGCTCCAGCAGTAGCCTGGGATGAACTGGCCATGGAGGGATTTAATTCCCCCCTCCCTTTCCCCCTGGCAGGGACCTGAGCCAGGGTCTGCGGGGCGCTCCCCTATCACTGCTGCAGTGGCAGGGCTGGGCATGACCAGAAGCCAGTCAGCATGGCCCCCTGGGGCAGAAGGGGTGAGGAGGAGGCTTGTTCCCTCTTCTACCCCCCCCCCCCCCCCCCGGCGCTCCGCCCCGCCACAACTGCTGCTGCTGCTCAGTTGCTTTCTGCTTGGGGCAAGCAGTGGAATAAGCCCCCTCCTGCCCCCTCCACCAGATGCTGGAGGGAGGGGGAATAACCCCCACCCCTGCTGCCACCTAAGGAGCCCTGCTGGCTGGTGTCTGGCCATGCCCCTGCCTAGCCACTGAAGTGGCAAGGGGGCAGGGATCTTGATGGGGGTGGCCAGCACGAGCA